GCCGGGTCATGTGTATGTGTGTTTGTGTTTATGTGTATGTCTGTGTGTCTCTATGTATGTGTGTATGTATGTGTATGTATGTGTTTGTGTGTATGTGTGTGTGTATGTATGTGGGTTTTTTTATGTCTTTATGTGTATGTCTGCGTGTCTCTATGTATGTGTGTATGTACGTGTGTGCATGTGTTTGTGTGTATGTATGTGTGTGTCTATGTATGTGTGTGTATGTGTTTTTGTGTATGTATGTGTGTGTATGTATGTGTGTTATGTGTCTGTCTGTGTCTGCATGTATGTGTGTGTGTATTGTGTATGTGTTTGTGTGCATGTATGTGTGTGTTTGTGTGTATGTGTATGTCTGTGTGTATGTATGTGTATGTGTGTGTATGTGTTTGTGTGTATGTGTGTGTATGTGTTTGTATGTGTTTGTGTGTTTACGCTCGCATTACACAAATGTGTTGCTGGTCTAAGGCGTTCCTCGCACAGCATTGCCGCTTTATTTTTTCAGTCGTTTACTGCCTTACGCACCCTGAAAGTCGTGTGTGTCTGCAGCAAGCGCGTGTATGTGTACCTATGGACGCGCGCGCGTGTGTTGTGTAGGGGGAACGGTAGTGTAGTGCTTAGCGTGCTGCCTGTGTCTGTGTGTGTGTGTCTGTGTGTGTGTCTGTGTGTGTGTCTGTGTGTGTGTCTGTGTGTGTGTCTGTGTGTGTGTCTGTGTGTGTGCGTGTGTGGTGTGTGAGGAGCGGTGGGTGTAGTGCTTAACGCTACGCTGCGCTACCAACACTGCAAACCCAGTTCGATTCCCGCTCACGGCCACCACCAGTGACGATTATTTTAACCTCCCCTAGGTCGACTCTGCCTCAAACGAGTAACTGCTGTAGCGTATTAACATCGCCACTGGGGAGACAAAGGCGGCCGGCCGTGGTAGATACAAGTCCCGGGCGAAGCCGGGTAGTACAGCTAGTGCTCTATAAACCTGGTAACCCGAGTTTGATTCTAAGCCACAGCTAACATAGGAGAGTGATAACTGAAACGGTCCTAAGCCACCCTTTACCAACACACACTGACCGGAGTGGTGAAGTACGGTCAAACAACCTCGAATGACCCACACGGCAGGGTAGGGGGGTAGCCTTCATCCCATAGTGGAATGACAAAAGGTTGAAGATTCTAATAATTTAATTCAACGGCTTTCAACAGGAATCAGATCACGCGAGTTGCATTGTACACGGAATCTGTGCTGTGGTTTCAGCTTCACAAAGGCTCATCAGCAAAGAGTAACGGTGCTGCTCTACTGCCATAATTGTGTACATGTCTGTTGTATCAAACACTGAGGCAAGAGATCTGTGCAAAGTGGTCGAACACTGGTGAGACAAGGCCCTCTGCCAATAAGTTTCAAAGACTGCTTTTATCAGAGCATGTATGTAGAACTTCTTTCACACCGGAAATAGCCATACTGTGCTAATCGGAGGAGCGGAGCATGTTTGTTTGCATGTTTTTACCACAAGCATGTGTGGTAAATGCAGACTTGATGCCTTGCAATGGGGTGTCTGAACATCTCAACACCTCCTGTATTATTGCCGAAAAGGATGAAGTCGATCATTGTTTTATCATTTTGATACTGGCAAACAAACAAGATACCATGGACTATAACGATTCGATGGCACATAATGCGCGCGAGAAGAACAACCGACATATTGCCACATCCCTGCTTCTTTGCCCTGTGTGGAAAAAGTATAAGGCCCACATATATAAACAGGAAGCGGTCACATCTCCCTGGTATACAATGTCGAAACGCTCCAATATCTCTCGCAGTAACGCTTGCTGCCGCCCGTTGCTCAGATTCAAAAGGCCGTCTGCCCTGTTCGAACAAGCAATAAGGACGCGCTCAAGTCTCGTTACAATCACTCGCAACCATTACAAGAGATAGAGATATAAAAGTACAGTGGGTGGTGGATATAAGCACATCTAATATAGGCAACACCCTTACATCACGCTGATTGGGGGCAATGGGCAACATCTGAAACATCTAGCATTGCTCCCAATGGGATAATGTGCTTATATAGGAGCGCCACGGTGAGATGTGAACTACCTCGCCTGGTATACAGGAGGTCGTGGGTTTGATCCCGACCCTGACGCTTGTATATTTGGAGTTTGCATTTTCTCCCCACGACTGACGCCCACCACCTCCCACTTCCCCACTACGCGGCGAGTGGGATTACTCATCGCGATTCCTCATCAGAAACGTAAACATTCGCGTGTCATTTGCATGAATCACATAGAATGGAGTCTTGCGACTAACAATCTTACTCACGTGCTGCGAGCGAGAACTGATGATAATCGATAGTGGAACTTGGTCGGCGCTACGGAGGGGTGCCCGTACTTGATTCACAGCAATTATTAAGCGCGTGGCGCAACCACCAGATCGCAAGGGAATTAATGTTTATCCCTCCATGCTGTACGCAATGGGTACATGCCACCCCTACAGTTACTTAAGCTACCCCCCCCCCCAATGATAAATAAGGAAAACCATGCATATGCGTGTCCTGTAACCCTTTCCAACACACGTTTGTCTCTGGAATACAGTATTTAACGACCTATAATTAAAGGATTTCCACCTCCAATCATGACTTGCCTATGGACAGCAACACACCATCTCTATGCCCATGTGCCTCGCATGACCTGTGTACACCCCGCCGGCAATCTATGTTCACGCATGCTTCCATGCATCGTGTCTGGATTGCGTATGCATACAAATGAGAGATTGAAGAGCTCACTTGGACAAGGCGGCTCTTCAGGGGAGACCTAGATTTTGTTTCCCCCTTACTCACTCCAAGCACTAATTTGGAAGGCGGATCAAATGAATTAAATTACCTTTGAGCATTATAAAAAAACGCCTTTTGGCAGTCCTCTGGGCCAGCACCGTTTGAGACGAAGTTGTCTCTGGTGTGGGCCAACAGTTTCAAAGACAATGCATATATTAGAGTATGTTTTTTTGTTTGCATTCTGACCACAAGTATTGTGATTAATGCAGACATGATTCCTTGTAAAAGGTTTCAGTTTGGTGTTTTAACATCTTAACACATCTGTTTTGTTGCCAGAAAAAAGGGGGAAAACATATTCTCATATTTTGGTGCTGGCAAAGGAGGTCCCATGATGATGAAACCCTTAGCTTCTTCATATTCTGAAGTAGTAAGAATATTGAAGCTTTTTTAAACTATGGACCCACTGCAGCAATATTCTCGAGATCTCGCATTATTAGCGGATATCTTATCATTTACAAATGCATAAAGAGTACCACTGGTTTATCAAGCCTCATGTTGCTCATGAGGCTCAGTATCTTTGTAAGCGGCGTACCGGCAAACGCTCCTGCAATGGAGTAGTCTGGAAGGGCTGCAGCACACAATGGACTGAATGTTCCTTTTAGAGAATGTATAAACAATCCTACGTACCCATCTTGTCTGCTTAAGGGACAGGTCTTTCGTTTAAAGCTTCCTTCCTTGAATTCAAATGAACACTTCCTTCGTCACATCGTCAGGTGGACGCCTTCTTACATCCAGTTGTCGAGCAGTGGCTTACGTTTTCTACCGCTTGCCCTTTTCCCATACGTCCCAACATCCTTCCTTCTTGAACTTCAAAATGACAATATTTACATATACTGGAGAAACCCGGTGGGCTATAAAGCACTTTTTATATGAGTAAGCACTTCAACTGACAATTCGCCAAACAGAACTTTTGCCTTCAATACATTACACAAAAGACGTTATTTACACTAAAGATTTTCCTGAAACGTTTGTGTTGACAACCTGCGTTTCACCTTTAACTCCTAGATTCTCCATGTAACGAATTTAAATACCCACTCCCTATCTGCCGGTCTTCAGCATACGCCAATTATGTGCGATACATGCCCACACCACATGTGCCTTGAACTCACAACCCTAGCAAACCATGCACCACTTTACGATATAACAGCAAGACAAAAGTGGAATCCCACTCGCCCAAATGTGAAAAGTATTTTTTTTTGCTTTTTTCCCCTCTTCACATTACTACAAATGAGGCCGTATGGATAATTACGCCACTAAATATTTCATTACCACTCAACCCGTGTGCTTTCCAGCGAGACGCACGCACCTCACACCTATTTACGATTATGAGAAGAGCACAATTGAAATTTGGATGGCCGCATAAAACCACCGCTCCCCAAGACGGGCTAAATTGGCGTACGATTTCACTGTTAATCCAAACGGCCGCCGAGTAATTTTTACGAGGCTTCAAGTACACGTCAACAGGGACCTCAAAAGACCCCGTGACATCCTGCGCATGAATTTGGAGACACACCGCGTGTCACTCTTTGCATCTCCCATATGCAGAGGCAAATCATTATTGGTTAAGCCATACAATATGTTCCCTGCCCTGAGGTGAAGAGTGTTCGACGAGCAATAATAAGATCACAAGTGCAAATCCTGGTTGAGGGCTGACTAGACACTATCACCCCTTCGAGGTCAATTAAAAACTTTGTATGAAGTCCACCAGTCGCTATCTTACGAAAAGACAGGCCTCCAGCATAGAAATACGGAAGTTCCACCACTGGCTCAGGGCAGCCAATATAAACGAGAGCTACCCTATGACTCCATGGGGAAGAGGCATCATACCCTTTTCGACGATTAAAACCCATCATTTCTAATAATACCGATCGGGACATCTCCGTTCATTCCCACATCAGATTTCAAAGAAGATATATTTTTTGGACATCAACCTTAAGCAATTTTTTGCAGTTTTCCCACCCAATGGTTTTGAATAATTAAGGCCACAATTTCGCACCACCCCATCAGGTAAAAACTTCGTAACGGAATATCCGGAAATGCAGGAGCCACACAAACGATTACGACTCACGAGCACCAACGACTCAACGGTGACAACGATGCCCAACAGAGAGGCGAGGAGGCAGCTGAGGAACCCAGGAAATCCGCTGGGTGACGACATGCCAATGGACACGGGGTACTACTTACGGTCACTTTGAGGCGCCATTTTCTTGCTGTCAGGATTGTCTGCAAGAGAAAGAGACACACGCTGACCAAATATAAATATATGTATAGTAAAGTTTGCTCGCTTGTTTGCGGTGGCGGCTCCTCGTTTGGACGGAGGGAAAGTCCGCAAACAAACTGCACATCCGAGTGCCTGAATTTGCAAACTCGACCAAACTTCACAAGGGACCCCCCCCACCCCTTTTCTGCGAGCGCGCAAGCGCTGCCGTAACCCCCCCCCCCCCATTGGGGTTACAGTGAAGGGAAGTGGGCAGTGGACAGAGGAGAGGGTCGGGGACGCCAAAGTACAACGCAGACACAAGAGGAAGCGAAATGTGCACGCACAGACGCCGCACAAGTTTCACGGCACACAGACGGTCACCGGGGGGGGGGACAGGTACACAGACAACAAGGCACACACGTGTAGCGTGACGCACCAGGATATTTTACGGTTTACGCGGAATCAAATCGCTCACAACACAGGAAGACGCACGTGCGTGCGCGCAAATCCGCACACAGGTACAGCGACATACGCAGAGCAAACGGCTCGCTGCTAACTACTCCGTGAAATGTAAATACTTCTAAACCATAACAAGATTGGCTCTCGCACCCGAAATTGCCATTGCAGCCATTTTGAATAAATTTAAGCAACTGCATTTTGTAGTTAGTGTAAGAAAGTAAAAGCCAAAACAACTCACCACCTGCGTCGCCAATACTGGCTCATGATGGGAGGACAGCAGGCTATCATTTTGGAAAACGGTCCTTTAAGAGCACAAGTTGGCGGCAATCACTTGGAAATATTAGCCAACTAAATATTTTTTCTCTTATAACGTAACGTTAAGATCGAAGATGGAGAGAGATTATTTAACACGAAGGCATTTCGTGACCAATATCATCCATAAGAGGTTTTTTGGTTGGATCGTGTAAATATTTACGCAATCTAACCTCCATTATGGACAGTCTTTGATGGAGATTCACTGCCTGTGCTGTTAAGTTTACAATTCAGAGACACAGCAGGGCTCGGTGTATAGTACCTAATCAAAATAATAAAAGCGCACCATTTAAATTATTTGGTTGATGTTAATGGGTCCTATTTAGGAGCGGTCACATGCACAACCTGCATGTTAGGGCAGCCATCCGTCTTTCCAAACAAACGGCTTGAAACTTACGAAACAATTCCGATTTAAACCATTGTTTTACATGTAGATTTACTGTTATCAAGTAGCATTTTGGCCATAACATACAGTGAAATGGATGTGTAAAATAAATATATTTTTGGTTGGTATAGATGCCATGTGACGGGTTGACGTTACCATGCAGCCACTAGGAACTGCCACTTTCACCAACGACTGCAATGTTAATAATAATTGATACCCAACAATGAATACAATTTCCAAAGACAAGTGGGAGTGTGGGAAATCGCTACCCCCGTTAGTATTTACTAGAATGACACACCGAAACAGAAAGGCTAAAAATGAGAGATATATTTCTACCTTAACAGCTATTGGAGCTAATTATAATCTTACAGCAATATTCCAGATGGATGAGCGGTCATTATTGAAAGTTAATCTGAACTACAATTTTCTACTTTTTTTATTCAAATAGCTTCTAAGCGAACATGTGCGATCACTTAAAATCTGGCTTAACATTCACAGAGCTGCATGACACACAAACCACACATGTGCCTACACACCACTCTGCTCTTAAGAACAAAGTAAAACACACATGCAGGCAGACCAGTCAGGTGTCCATGGGACAATGTCGTTGTCTTTTTGGCTTCACAGAAATTTCTTTTTTACATATATACACACTGGGGGGCCCGCCGACCAGCAATAATCAAACCAGTGCATTCACTTCAATGCACACAGCTTCTTCGGCCACAAAAAGTAAAATGAAGAGCAACAATGTGCACACGTGTTTTGAGAGGAAAAAGCCTCTCGAGTTTTAATGAATTAGACTACCTTGATCTCGAATCCCAGATGTCTAAACGCTGCGTGAGAAACGCGCCAGCTGCACGTGGCGGGGGTTATCGCTCACGCGGCACGGGGCTTGATAAATCATCCCATGGAAACGGGAGACATTCACAAGTGACACGCACACGCGCATAGGTAGGGAAGCGGCCAAGCATCCGCGGGCACTGGGGAAACACAGCAGGGGTGGGGGATTGGGTAGGGGAGGCAGGAAGTCGTTTGAGAGATCCACACTCACGGTGCCAAGAACAAGACCCGCAAGGCTCGGTTAGGGAACAGAATATAGAGATTCAAGTGGATTGTGCCAGCAGAGTTTGCTCAAAAAATATACATCGATTAGAGATTATTTTAAGCACAGCTGTACGTGAAGTGTCAGGCACCGTAAAATCATATCTCTGCGTCAATTTTCAAAAACCGGTAAGAATTTTTCTTTTAACATTACTTTATTAAGCCCAAAATCCTTCACCTTTAAAAAATGAAAGAACCCCACCAAAAAAAGAAAACAGAAGGATAGGTAAAATCAGCAGAAATGACAACAAAGCGGATGTGAGAAAAAAATTAAGCAAAATCACAAGACGACACCACCGTCACCAAACATTTCCAAACAGGCAAACACGCAAGCAAAGTAAAAGGAAGGCAAGTTAGTTGAGAGAGATGAAGGAGTCACTTGGTGTGACGGAGGCGTTTGCCCTCAGCTGGACGAAGGTTGCATTTAATTCAAGGCAGTGTTGTTTCCAGGCAAATGTGGTGCCTTTTTCAACGTGTACGCATTGCGCTATGAACTTCATTGTTTTAACAATTTCATCGGCAATGGCACAACAATACTTTTGGCTCCTCGATACAGAACAAGTGGGCCAATCTTTTTGCTTTTCCTCAATTCCTTTTCATAATGCCACAATTGTCCATAATTGCCACCCTAATCAACTACTCCGACATCACAAAAGTGTGGCATTGCATTACAAGACACCTCGAAGATACACGTGGCTCCAAAGGTAGAACGCAACGTTGTGTTTGTCACTAACAATGGTATGTAGGTCATTGTCTCAATGTCAATAACAAAACAACCCCAAGCTAGTTTCTGACAGCCCTATTAAGAGCCACCTCACAACGACAAATAAAAAATCCATAACTCACGAGGTGACCATCTATTATGTCAGCAAGCAATCCCCCACTTCGTAGCCAGAACTTACAAATTATTATTTTAAAAAACCAGGCCAAGTCTCTTATATCATGGCGGGGGGGGGGATGCAACTGAGACTTAAAAAACACTGCCAAATTTGTATCTCCATCAGCTAATGGGTTTCCAAACTAGCAAACCTTTCGCAATGAACGCATTTAGTTTAGACGTGAAGTAAAGCTGAAAACGAAAGTGACGAAAACGGCATACAAGATTTGATATCGCGTCCTAAATTAACCTGATCCGTAGGAAGGGTGGGGGGGGTAGTGCGTTTGGAAGATATAAGAAAGGAAAGTATCACGTGGCCATCAGGGCCTAATGAATTATCGGCAAAACTAAAATCCATGGGCTGAGAGCTCCACTTGGGCACGCAGCTTCCATCAACGGATGCACCATTTACAGCCACCAAATTGGTGTGTTCACAACCACCACGCACGAAGTTACGCAGCCTAAATTTCACAAGTTTAAATACACCACGACATCTGCATACATGTAATTATATCTATATATCCCACTGATGTTATCTTATAAAAACAAATCAATCAGGTCTGATGTACTTATGAGCGACCTCTCAAGTCACAACATCGCTTTATTATATTCGCCACCAAAATATGCCAGCGTTAAGCTGTAAATGGCTTTAAGCAGTCCCAAATGCAACCAAAACTTATCATAAATCAATACCTATAGGTAACGGTCACCCTCGTTAAGCATCGATATCCTATACCAATTTAGATCAACTTTCCTGTGTTGTGCATTTATGTCTCCATTTTACCTAGACCACCAGTGCAACATGATAAACACTCGCTGTGCTCCTACTGTGGACTATTACATCGCCACATCTTGAGATATCGTTACAAACTGCGGAAGACTTCAACCTACAGGACTGTTGATGGCTAACTGAGATGACGACGAAGTGGTCGAGTAAAAGTACAATAAGCCTTGCTGGAGGAGCCTCTGTTACAGATGGCGACACCAATGATTAACGATTAGCCCCCCCCCCCCCAATCCCTCTCCTCAAAGCAAAGTGAAAAATATTTTTCTTGAGCAGGCAGCGACAATCTTTCTGCTGCCTTAACGTAAAGGATCACTTCACACCGGTCGAGGAAGTTCATGAACGAAGCCAAGGGATCCATGCTCTTTGATTATTTCGGTAAAGTCACGTAGATGAAAAATAAAAATTATAACTAAATTAAATCACGACGTTTTGGAGGCAACACAAGCTTCCGTCATCAGGTGGAACAGCCACAGCAAAATTGCTATTCACTACAGTAATGTTGTAATTTTGCTGTGGCTGTTCCACCTGATGACGGAAGCTTGTGTTGCCTCCGAAACGTCGTGATTTAATTTTGTTATTTTAATTTTATTATTTTTCTTTTTCATCTACGTGATTTTACCGAAAGAACCAAAGAGTATGGATCCTTGCAGTCACGAAAATTTCAAATCTAGAAAGGGACAATGCTCAAGAAAAAAATATAATGAGGAACACATCCTTCAAGGTGGTACAAAGCTAATCGAACTAAGGGGTTTGAAGGTTTAGCTCCTGCTGAAAGTGAGGTGGTGACTGCTTTGGGTAATATATTGAAAACAATCCACTATTGTCAAGAGGGCTGCAAACAAACTTACATAATCAGCATCCACATGCCTCTCTCGGAAGCAGGGAAAAACTCGCTTGATATTTTTTTTACCCAGTTGAATCAAGATTAAATCAGGATGTTTTGACCAACTCATGAAAGCATCCTCAGAGTCAACGTGTACAGCTGCTACCTCAATACCACTAACCTTGAAGCAGAAACTGGTTATATTTATCAGTAAAGGGAAAACAATCAGGCAGGGAAAATGCCAGTTTCACAGCCTCTTCTGAAAAAAAATGCCAATGACGGTTAGGTTGGAGGTGTGGCCTGATGCGCTATTTTGTTTATGGTCGTTTGACATTTTGGGCCTATGCTCGCTAACGGTGGTAAAAACAAAGTTTCCTGTTCTACGTCTATCAAGGGCACTGGATCGCATTACAGAGGTAGATATGGCGGCTGAAGAATCGTGGCAAAGACCTGAGAGCCAAAAGTGCCGTGCTAAATAAACTGTTATTTAACCACCCTGTCAAGAAACACGAGTTCCAATTTTAACTCCTTCAAGCTCGCTGAGGGCAACCACGTGCACAAAGAAAAAGACAAGCAGAAGGAAGATGGCAAAAGAGATTTTTTTTGTTTCGGTTAAAAACAAAAAGTCCAAAATCAAAAACTCAAAAGCGGAAACGAAATGGAACATGAATCCCTGCCTGGAGGAGACAGCGCGAGCTCCAAGCCTGCTCTAGTGGGCGGGGGGCCCGTCCAAGGGACATCTACGCATGGACACAGAGAGAGGGGGGAACACAGTTAGGAGACAACCACACACAACGGACGGCAGGGTCCGGCAAAGCCTTGAGCCCCGCCGCTCGCTCGTTCCACCTACCCAACACGAAACCCGAGAGGGCTCTTGTCAATTGGTCCCTTCGCCTCAACTGTGGACAAACTAAACTATAAAGTTATTCAAATTTGACCAGATTAAGGCCCGAGCTATAGAGCTCTTTTTCAGAAGACCTGGTCACAAACGAAAGCTTAACAAAAAAGTGGCTTATCACGGTGGAAATTTATGACGGCCAAATTACTCTAAACGCATGTTGATTATAAATGTGGAGGGAAAAACCGGAGGAAACTCGGAAAAAAATCCATGCGACCACAGAAAAGGGGACACGCAAACTCCAAATATACAGCAGGCGTCAGCAGGGTTGGGATCGAACCAACGCCCTACTGCATACCAGGCGAGGGAAGTTAACATCTCGCGAGTCACCGCGGCACCGCGGTGACAAGGGCCTTCAAAGCAGCCAAGTCTGGGAATGCTGCGCACGTATCTGTTGGTGGCCCCCTTGGCTAACGGGACAAGTTCCACACTCCGATTGCAGGGGGGGCAAAGGGGGACTGACTTTCAAAGGATTACTTCTGTGGATTTATGACAAAATGGTTCACATTTTAATGACCCCCTCCATGAGAACAGCAGGATGTGTTGTCAAAGGGAATCGGAGTTTGATACCAATTGCAAATAAAGCGTTCTAACCACAGAAACTCCACGGACATCCAAAATAATAACAATCTATTCTCAAATATTTTATTTTTGAAGTAATGGTTTTGGTCAGGTGTCGTCTACTACCACAAAATTCATCCACACATAAATGTATATATTAATATAATTTAGGGTCACGACTTGATAAAAAAAATTATTTTCGTTTTAACAATTGCATTTGTACTTTCTATTTTTTTCCTGTCTCAATTGTACAATTTTGCTGATATAATGTGGAATTCACACCTTTAAATCTGGGGATGTCATCAAAAGGTTGCCACCTAATACTTGGACTAATAACGTTTGCATGTAAAGTTTTCAAGGGGGTTAACAATGTGTTGAGATTTAAAAACAGGTGCCAAATATCACTATCTCTGCAAAATCATATATAAAAAACTGGGTGCCAAGACATTGGGCCAAGTGCACAGGAGCATCTGTGGAATTTTATAGCTATTAAACCCACACTTATTTAGGGGAATTCAATCAGCAAAAAAGGTAACGCCCCCAACTCACAATACGATCCAAATTAGTTTTTTTTACAGAATTTTTTTTTTTACAGAAGGTATGCAATACGTAGGCAGGGTATCGTCTCCGCAGACTATGACGTGACATTTTACAATTACTTTCTGCATACACCGCTCTGTTCACCAATTGCACCGATATATCATTTTTGATAAATCAATAAAGATGACATTAACATTGGCCACAGTAAATCATAATATATTAGTAACTGGTTAATTAAATAGGAGTGCCTATCTCGCTTTTCATTTGCCATCCCAAATCAAACATGATTTATGAGTAATCATTCATTGATATTGTACAAACGTTTGGGGAAAAGGTCCAAATGTAACTCAAACCCAAGATCTAAACGGGCTGTACCAGCACAGGAAATTCCTATGCCCGATGCTCAGGGGGATGCACCATTCAAGCAGCCAATGATATTTTATTTCATCCTTGGCATCATAGGGGCCCCTACTCCATTCACAACTATTAAGTTTGTCTCGCTGCGACCTCCAGCGTCAGCAATTTCACCCGGCAGCACCACCAGTGTCACTACTCGGTTCGCATTAACGCAAGATATCTTTACGGCTGTAGCGACGAACATTCTGGCACGGGCAGGGACTTTTATCTGCTATGCATTTAAGTGGAGTTGGCAGGCTAAGAACATTTGAGACACGTTTACAACCGCAGTAAAAATTTTGAGATCCAGCGGCTTTTCGGCCAGCACCTTTCAAGATTAACGCGGCAACAGATTCATCTAACGTACATATGCTATTCTACAATGCGACGCGTGCTCATGCAAATATTTGCAAGTGTTTAGGTTTTACAGCATTCAAATGCAAATCAAAACATTAATTAGTCCAAAGCTATTTCTTTCTCTAACTCTCCACTCGGGAGATAAAAAAAACAATCCTTGGAGCAGCTGTTCAGCTGGATTCAATTCTACACACAGATGCCTAAACAAATCACTTGCAATCTTGCAGAGATCACACCCAGAGTAACTCCGGCACCCAACACATTTAGAATCGCAAGCGGTGCAGCCACAGGCTGTGATGGGGTTTGTGTGGTGGCAATTCAGCAACTTGGAGGTCTACTTGTGGGATCGTATTACATGGTGGTGCTTCTAGAAGGCAGTGTACAGCAGCAGGCGGGTTCCGGATCGAGGTCCTTTCACACAAGGGTTGGTTTTCTTTGTGCACTCTCGTTAACTCAACACGCAAAAATGCTCAAATTGTTTACTTAGTCCAAGCAACGCTGCGGGAAACATTTGAGACTCGGTAAACCTTTAAGGATTGAAGCCTTCAATTATTATTGTTTATTACACTTGCTTAAACAATTACATTTTAATCAACTGCACAAACCTTGCACTTTCGCAGTGCAAATAATTGCTCTTAATTGAAAGGAAAAAGTACAATAATTTATGCAAAGTGCTAGAAAAAATTTCAACCGGCATTGTATAAATGTTTGTAGTTGTTTTTTTACTCCTTTCCTACTCTATTCTTAACGAGCAGTTTGTTTGCATAGCTTGCAGTCATTCATTATAAAATACATTTCAATCCAGTTTGCCCATCCTTAAAAGCAGTGCCTGCAAGTAAAATTGGCCAAGCAATTTACGTGCAACGTACACGCATCTATCTAGCAACACTGCACGAGTAGCTAATACCCTAGGTAGTCACCAAGACAACTCGAAAACAAATTAAGGAACTAAAAAAAATGTACCCACACACACACAGACGGAAAAAGTACACAACACACGAGAGATGTACATCCAAACAAACAAAAACACGTTTTAGAAAATAGAAACAAACTTAAAACGAAGAGACACGACACGAAAGCAGAAAAGGGAAATGAACACGAAAATGAAAACAGAGGTGGGGGTGGGGGGGTTTGTGAAGTTTGGGCGAGAGCATTGAGGGCCCCAGTGGCCACTGGTTCACCGCTATTACCATTACCTTTACCCTTGTCCATTACTTTTGTTGTTAATATTATTGTTATTCTTTGGTTCAGCGAGTGCGTCTTTACACTTGCAGGACAAAGCCACTCACACAACAGCAGAAAATGCACGACACCGACTTCATGGCTTCAGTCACACAGTCCCTCAATTCGGTGCCGAATTCACAATACCACAGACGGGCACATTTGCGTTTCAGCGGTGCGGCCTTGGGGAGAGTTGTTGTGTGATAGCGACAGCCGACCAATGCAGATCTTTTAAAAAAATGCCACGTTTGAAAATAAATGAACGCGGATGAATGGCAAGCATGTATTTTTGTCATAAATATTAACATTTTTCCCAATTTCAAAAATGTGCACGGAGCATTGCGGTAACTAGTTTCAAGACACATCGATTTCCCCACATTTAAAAAGCATTTTAGAACTTGATGCAATACCTTTATCTGCCAATTCACATTGGTGAAAATTTAAATGAGCATTACAAAAATAAAGCTCAACGAAAAATGTAGAGCTGTGAAAACATTAACGAGCGCAAAAAAACTGAATCCGGTTAAAAAAAAATCAACGCAAAGAAAACGGCTACTATACCTACTGTCGCCGAATATGTCCCAAGCTGTAATTTGGATACAATGCAGCAATTAGTTTCAGTTCTGTGTCAATGGTCACGCGGCCTAATTCCATCAGATTCGACAAACAAGCGGTTAGCCGTCGCTATGTAACCAGCGCTTTCAAAAACAAATCAACACGAGCCAGTGCGGTCATTTAAATTTGCAAATCGGCAGCCAATTGGCATCGTACGATCAGAAGCCATGAACACTCTGCTGTAGTAAGTGCACTTGTTGCGTCGTCAGGGGGGGGGGGGGGGGACAAGGGCTTTCTTGGTGGAGTCCGCGCCTTGGATCGATGTGCACATGCGTTGGGGCGCATGCACGATGTTGTTGTGTAGCGGAGCTTGGGTAAGGGGGGGGAAGCGGGGAGGGTGGGTTCCGCGCAGGCGAGCGGGCTTCCCACAACAGAACATGTAAACACGGGGGCGGGCGGGGGGGTCGAGGTGACGTTGTGGCTCGGTGAGGCGACGATATGGGACAGGCTTCTGGCAAGCTGCGCCCCGTGCAATAGGTCGATTGATTCTGCAGCTGCCGGTTTCAATTCAAGCTGAAATCGAGCACAATGTTTTCCAAACTAAAGGACATTGTTTCCTACGATACTGCATCCTGCGGGATTTACAAAAAAACCCAATTAATTTGTTCATTTGTTGATGCTATGCAAAACGCAGCATGTAATTATTCGGTCAAGTGGCACTATAACGGGGGGGGGAGGGGGGACGACGACAATCGACATTGTCAGGGATCGGCCGAGACCATTAACCCTCGAGGGTGAATTAAATTAGAAAATAGTGATACGTCAACTGTGGTTGCTTTTACAGAGAGACTGGGCAATACTGGCTCTGCGTTGCCAATGGCGGCGAGTGCTGCAATAATGTTTGATTGATCAGGGAGACGGTATATTTATATATTTTGAAACTTGTATCATTTTAATGAACACAATTCCCCGTAAAGCAATGCTAATCCATTATTGGTTTAAGTGATAATGCATCTCGACAAAAGGTGGAACTTCCTTTAATCGTGCCAACAATTTGTCTTGCACATAACGCCAGAGTTAATCGACACGAAGGCGATGCCTACCTAGCCAGCTCACACCTTTTTAACCCTTTTCTTGAAAGATCACTTTGATACCATACACAGCCTCACCTGTGAAGTGCATAACTAGAAAACTTTACAAAAGCGCAATTTTCACAGTGAACTTTCCACTTAACCAGCATCAGTAGGGCCCTGCAAAAGCACAGGCGTGCACCTGCACAGCAACACAAACGCATTCTGACGCAGGGCACATCCCTGCACCTCGGGAATTGTACATGCGGGAAGGGGGGGGGGGGAATGGGTACAGCAGCAGCATTTGTATCGCCTTGGAAAGCGTGCGGATGAGTGGCATCCAGGTATGGTCAGGGTGGGAGGACATCTCATTCAGAGAGCTTCATTTTAACGTCGCCACGTGACGACCCGAACCCGAGAGCCTGGAGGTTAGCGTCGTACGCCACAAAGTCGGTTAACGCGGCCAACGGCTCAACTCCTGCAATCGCCTGGTGACCTTTGTGATGCAATTACCCGAGCGTGCACTCTCTCAGGTGAAACGAGGCATTCAAAGACCCTATGACGTCATTTGTGATAGCAGGCAGTTCTGTGCCGGTTTAACAAGCCAAACCCTCACTATCAAACGCACCATTCTAAACAATAAATGTAGTTAAGAATAACAGTCCCCAAAGCAACAATGAGGATACTAGTATCCCAGCAAACAGGCGAATACATCTCTACAAGGGCTACTATTGAGTTAAATATTTAAACAAACGGTTTATCTTTTGGTAGGCGTTGTCCAGAAAATGCATTACTTTCCAAACTAATTAGATTGATGTATCATTTAACCAAAGAATTATAATCGAGGTCTTTCAAGCAGGTAGATGAGCACCATGCCACTGCCCATATAACCAAGGAAAACAATGATATATACATACATTTTGAACTTCTTTCGCACCGTACATAGCCAACCGCGCTAAATGGAGGTGCGATTAACAAACACTCATACGGTCCAATTTATAAATTGACATGTTCCTTTCTGCCTAGTTTTTTTTCGGCAAACAAGTATAAATTTCACCCATCAAGCACGTAGCAATAAATACACGTTCACCACAACGGCCCTAGTATCTTATGAGCTATATTCGGAAATGAAGCTCAGGAATGAGATGCCTGAGAGCGATTTTGTTGATGTGCATGCAAGGCCATGCAAAGTCCGTCCGTTTTTCCAGGCCCCCCCCCCACCGCACGTCCCAGGCGAGGAGGGGGGGGCTACGTTGGTCGGTGCTGGATGCTCGTGCGCACGTTCGTTGTGTGCGCTGTACGGGTTTGTTGTGTGCGCGTGTGCTATGCGAGTTGGGTGCATGCGATGTCAGGCGCTACTCAGCCACGCAGGGCGCAGCTGGGCCATGCCTCTACCCATGCAACTAGCAAGGCGACGGCGTCTCGGCGACAAAGCTTGCCAGCAAAGAAGCACACGCTTGTGGAATGTTCTACAGATGTGAGTGCACCAACCTGTTGCTGTTCTTTACATTTGGTTTGTACCTTCGGTTACAAACGTGTTTGAGATGGTTGGTGTCGCCACCCACTGGACTAACGTTGTACTCTACTACCGTCATGCAGTGGGCGGTGACACTAACACACAAGGCCATGTAAAGAAAATGGTAGCTTAGGGGACAGAGAACCTGATAAAGTGCAGATTTTTACATTAAAATGTGTACCAGTTAAAATCCTGGTCAGAATTTACTCAGCCATTCATTAAACCATGGTTGATTAAATGATTACTTAAGTGTGAAGTCAACAGTGGTCCTCGTGTGAATTGACACTGGCCATGTTAATACCACTCGCTCGTGGAAACCATATTAATGAAGTCTCATTGCTTCTTTGAATAATAGGAAAACATTTTGATTTTGGCAAATCAGTATTGTTCGGTGCTCTATTGAACCTGAGCGTGCATAGAGGTTTCACGTGTTCCATGAAAATGATCCTATTCCTTCCCATCTGATACATCTGCATTGGTGCTTGGAATGTATTTACTGTGGCAATGACCCAAAAAATGTTTCAATAATGGTGAAAAATTTGCAAAATGGGGCTCTGTCAATAAGAGTCATTTCATACTTCAATCACTCGCAAAGGATCGCTGCGGCGATTTACTGCGTGCAGAGCGGCTGTGCTTTTTAAATCTAGTGGTTGTTGGTCAACAACACTCCCAAGCATCCGGGTTTTCTATTTTTAAAAGTAGTTCCAAAGGTTGTTAGAGCGTGATGACAGCGCGTAGCATATACACGTGGGACTTTTGGTAAGACTTGGGAGCTGTTGCCTAGTGTCGAAAAACGAGCGTAGACGCCGGCGACTAAACGAGTGCATGCACTCGCGTGTGTGCTACCGACACCCCAAACACACATCAGTACTACCGCTGTATAATATAAAAAGGAAGTTATGGCACACGTAATCTACAATACAATATGTATTTGTATTGCTTCCTAACATATTACAATTACATATTTTATGGAGATTAGATTTTCCTATCAATCCAAATTGAGGACATAATGCAATATTTATTACAAAGTGTTCTCTGTTTTATGGGGGGTTTTTTCTCCCATTATTAAAATATTAAACCCCAACAGTTATTTCTGAAAATAAATTGCCTGCAAGTTATTTTTGTTATTGCAATGTTCAGTTGTACGCAGCTGGATAATTATGACCGGGGACAATTACAATCATAACTGAAAACAAAAAATTCCGTACGAAATGTTTTGGAAATAATCAATATTTAAATTTAATTCCTATTCAAAATGCGACGACATAGCCTTGTCCCATTTCTGGATCTTGCATAACCTATCATTGAAAATTCCCCAGTATTCATAATCGCTTGGAATAAAAATGTATTTCGACAAAGTGTAGGTTTTTTTTTTTTTACACGTCAAAACTGTCTCCCTTTTTAAATGTTGCTGCTCCGACTATCGGCCCGGAGCCATTGATGTAAATTCCACATTGCCATGGAAGCCAGTCTGTCCATACGACATTGACTGAGTTGACCACAACGGAGCTCTGAACACACAGCAGCCGCCTTTCAGAGAGCAGGTCTAACACCAGCCCGATCGCTGTGCATGATAGACGCAGGTGAAATGACGACGCCTCGTTCAACGGGGTGACCGAATGAGCCGTGCGTGCGCAAGTCCACGCTTCATCCCATTCCTATGCGCAATGGGAGCCCATGCACACACATATGTATGCACTGTCAACGAGCGGGCTGTGTGTGTGTTTGCGCTGCCTCTGTGTGTGTGCAGTTGGGGGGGGGGGGCCGGCAGGCAGCACCCGTGTGTGCTCCGAGTCCCACTAACCGGCATCCTCCAGTGGACGTTTCTGCCCCGGGAAGCCGTACGCCGACGCCATGTCTATTGCAGCACCACCCGGAACTGTGTCCGAGCCGATCTTCGCTGCTATCTGTACACGCAGGGATACACACAGAGGGACCCACACAAAGAGCGACGCACAGAGGGACCCACAACACGTACACACACACAGACAGGGACACGCAAGGCACACAAGAGGGACGAAAACAACATAAATGCATACAGATACGCAAAGATACATAGAGATAAAGCACACGAGCACGACAGAAACAAGTGCGGAGAGATACACACAGAAAGTTACACACAAACGCCGATGTTACACAGATGGGTATAAATTGAAAACAGAGATACACACACAGAAATGGGCACATACAAAGAACGGTAGAGAAAGATAAAAACCCACGCACAGATAAAGCAGAACCGCAAGTGGATAAACACGGACAGACACGCACAGCAATGCATGCACATACACGTTGAAAGACACGCACACATACAGGCAGACAACCACATACGGACAGAAACGCGTAGATGAGGCATAACAGACATGCCACAAAACAAACAAAATGAAGATGTGCATGCACAGAAGACACGAGAAAACAGCCATTAACAGCAGGACATTGCACAAAAAACAAACACGAACATCAGGAGGCACAGAAGCACATGCAGGAAAGCAGGCACACACACACACACAAAACACAATTAGTTTGAGTTAAGAGACTACTTTTAATTTGGACCAAAAATATCGTTCAAAGCATCACACCTTTTTTATTATTGATATACAGTACTTCAAGCCTACGTTAAAAACAGCAAGCAGAATGCAACAGCCAAAACAATAAACCAATACATTCAACGCAACCGGCCAATTCTGCAAATCATCCTATCAGTGGAGGATGCGGAATTAAAACAAACAAATTATCAATCGTGGGTATTTGCAGGAATGTGGTGTAGAATGGAAAATATTAGACGCGTATCTAGCATGCAGCAGATGTGGAAGACAGAATTTTGTTCTGCAGCACCAGAGTTATTTTGTTTCGTAAACTCCATAACGACGCAGCCTTCGCCACACATCTACGGTGATTCACGTCAGACAGAGGCGCCCAACTACATCACCAGCGATGTCTGAAGAGTGATCTGAACTGGAAGTCGTATTGGTTGTATCCGCTCGGAAAATTAGGCATTGTAAGAATTAACCACCACTCCAACCCCTCCCAAGATTATATGAACTGTCATCTTTCAGGTTCGTAATTCGTTTGAATATTTCATATCGTACACATTCTGTCTGGTTTGCATCCGTCTGTTTTGCAACGTGTTTTGTTCTGTCTTGATCGTTCTGATGACAAGCGAAGTGTCAATGTTTGCTTTACGCTTGTATGGATTGAAAAAAAAATGCGATTACTACACACAGATTGCAATGCACGTTTTACCAGAGTAAGAGTCCTGATAAAATCGGACTTTTATAAGTAATGAATTATATTTAGTGCCTTTGCTTTCCATTTTCGCTATTGTGCACTCCTATCATTATTTTGTTTGATGTTGTAACATGCCGACCCACCCATACTGGACCATCTCTGAAAGAGCTTAAGAGCTCATCGGATTCCTCCTGCAGTCCAAATAAAAGATTCCAATTCTGAATATTTACAAGCACTGCCAACAAACAGGGCGACTGCATGGTTCGACACCACACATTCCGAGTTCAAACCCACAGGTGGGATAAGCAATAACTAGTTTTGAGCGAACAAGCTTCTTAGGGCAAAGCGATAACCAATGTGTACATCTTGTGCCCCCCCCCACCCCCTGAAGTTTGGCACCAATATTACTTGCCATCAAACGTGACGCTATTGTTTGAGGCCACACCGATGCATCATGCATCCTCCCAACACCCAGGGCCACCGTGTCCTGCAGTAGGATTTCCACAAAGACAGTGCATTACCCTCAAATGGCAAAATGAACTTACCTAGGCACCAAGGTACAGATGCTGCCCTGCAACTTCGAAAAATCCAGTCGTACGGTACTTGTATACGTCCCAATGTCGACTGCTTCAACGTTTGCTCCCCACCTTCACCAAACCACATTGAGCAGTGTGGAGAAGCATGTTCAAATGACCCCCACTATACGCACGAAATCAGGAGGCCCCTCGTCCAACATTTGGAATACGAAAAAAAGCCTGTACGTGTACAAGTACTAGAATCGCATTGCGCCACAGTAACTTTACACATGACATGCAAACCCTCACATACTGCACACGCAGCAGTATCCGTAAATGCACCCCTGCGTGCTCTGTGAAAGCCAATTACTCTCAACTCACCGGCAATGCATACTCAAGGCCCGAAAGCTGCAAAATGTTACATTCAGCTTTGCGGCGTCGCCACAAGATGGTGCTTTCTGGGGGAAACCTGGAGGCGGGTTTGGACGAGTAGTGTAAATGACGACTGGGTGTAAGCCAATTCCAACATTTCTGTAATGGATAAAAAAATCATGGACCTGACATGTCCTAAAGAGGATGGAAAACAGCATACAGTAGTCTCATTGTACTGCTGCTGTCTATAATAACGTGGCGATCATTTTGATTCCGAGTTGGAGGCCGGCCTAAAACAAGGTGGTCTGCGTTATTCACGAAGTGTAGTGATGTGACATGCAAGGCATGTTTGGAGGCCAGATCCAACGGTCAATATCATGCCTTTTGTGATAGAAAAGTCCACTTTTCGTGTATGACCGTTACAGACGTGTTTGGTTTTAACAGTGGCTTGTTGGTTTGACAAGGTTAGTGGGGGGAGGGGGGGAGAAACTGAGGGACTGGAGTTAACAGCCAAAATGTAGTTTTGTTTCCCATTTGTTGTAATCTAAGCCTATACGGCGATAACATCCACTTACAACAGCACGAAGCATTCTTACTTCTACTATTCGCCCTTGTGTGCAAATAAGCTGGATTACATGACTGCACGCATCATACACGTGACCCCCCAGTACCTACGATTAAATACAAATATAATAAGACTTACACGTATACTGTCCATAATGACCACGGTAATTTATAATGTTCGAGCATTCTGCCGTCGGCGATAATATATTACACTATCATATTTGCCACCTGTTAGATGATGCTCATTACTGCAATCGGTGAATTAATTTGAAATAAAGTCAATGAATAATAATGGTGCACAGCCAAAAGTGCCATGACCTAAAGGACAAGCATAAACCAGGGGCAAATGGGAGAAATAAAAAGTTAGTCAAATCCCATGGGTGTAAGTGTCGAGCAGTAAACAAGGGATAGTACAAATGTCTTAAAATCCCTTAGAAGGCTAAGCTGGTACCAGTAACAGCCACAAGGTACATTAAAACTATACCAAGTCACTAAACTATTCGAGTGGGCAGGAACTCTTGACGCTTAAATTAACAGCCTTTCATAGACAGCATTCACCCTCGTGATCGGAATTTCACACCCTCTGGCAAGGGCAGCGATGAAAGAATTGAGGGGGGGGGGAAAACTTAAACACGTGCGCTGCTGCCACCCTGCCACCATACACACTGGGCGGTTTCACTGCGAAGAGACGAGAAAAACACAGACTGTGGTTCACGCACACGTGCCCAAGAAGCCGACCGAATTTAACCGTCCGGCTCTGTTTTGCTCGTCCTGCCTGCAACAACGCGAGGACGCGACCGATGTCCACACCTGCCCTGGCCCCCCCCCACGAATGTGCACGCCCAGGAAACTCGATCTCACCTTCCCCCGGGGGTGTCCACGCACAACAGGCCCGCGCTCACGCAAGCGCGTCCCCCAGAGATTGTGTGCCACCCACTTCAGCAACGCAACTCTTTCGCTTTAAAAGGCCGTTTTAATTTACAGTGCGTCACACGCACGGGCGCGTACGGGGCAGCAGGTGTAGGGTCCACCCCCCCCCCCCCCCTTTAACTCGTACGGCCTGTAGTGTGTATGAGACCGCAGACAGTCGCCACCAAGCTCACTTTCGTGTCAATCACCTATTCTTCCGGCGCAACTTTGCGTGTGAATGTTCGGAATGCCTGGCGGAGCAGCGCTGTCGCTAAACCGATAGCTGCAGCAGCGGAACATTGGAACATTATGGACAGAGTCCACAGACTGCTGACGCAGGGTGTACCGACAATTAATTCATGGTTGCAAACCTCTGGGGTAAACCTTTAACGGGAGTCAATAATAAACGGAGCATCTTTGCAACCCGACCGCAGGCCAAGCTGTACCGCGTGGGACTAACATTGATGCTCAATTTGCCAGTTTGGCCCACCCAGTGTCAAGATTTAGTCTGCATTTCATGGGGTTGGGGGGGGGGGGGGCTCAGCCACGGTGATAACGTGGTCGGGAAACGTGCGAGTAAATTTAAAGGCGTTTGGCACCCCAATTTTTAAGATGGCCAACACAGAGAAGGCCGGCATTCTCTTGCAAGCGTTTCAATCCTACAACACAGACAATTGAAAGCTATTCTGGGCCAGGTTTTTTTAATCATAAATGAAACGAGGTTATTCCAAAGAACCGAACTGTAATTCAGCTGTAACAGGAATAACACCACACATCTGTATGTGAAGAGTCATCGTTTGGTCATCAAAGGCGGTTATTTTTATGAGAAGTGGTGACACAGTATCGCTCTAGACACAGCTTTGAATCATCGACAAATCATGCGCATGGTATTTTAAACCCCACCTCTCCTCTGCTGGATTAATGTGTTTTACAACTGAGCAAATAAATATAGAAAAGCACACCGATTGCAAACATTTCAACTCAATGCTAGTGCTTGTACTCTGTGCAATCCCAGCGCTCACGCTCGGCGATTGTCAGTCACCGTGACGGCACCAGCGCATGCGTTCATCACTGCGTATGGGCTGACCTACATATGCGGGGGGGACCCGTGGGAGGGCAAGCGACACTTGCGTGGAGCGTAAACGCTCTGGTGTGTATGGCACTGCTCGACACAGCTAGTCACAGTAGTCACCTTCAGCGGCTTAACGCAGACTTTTCACATTGACAAGTTCCTCAATAAGCAAGCCTTCCAAGCGAGCGGGGAAACGTTACAATGCGATTCCTCGAATCTGATTGACACGAGCACCACAACAGCAAAGTAA